CATACGCAATAGCTCTAAACTTCAGGGGAATCTATCCAATTAATTTCATCTGGTCATCTTTCCCATGTGGAAAGCGCCTCACTATTTTGAATGCTACTTTCAAGCTCCAGGTTTTCCAAGGAATTTACAGGGAGTTTTAAGAAGTCCTCAGAACTTACTGCCGATAGGTAGTTTTCAAACTCTGGGTCCGGAACCCTGTAATACTTTCATGGAATCAATTTGGTGGATTGTGACCAGCATATGTATTTTTCTTTTCTTTGTTTTCCCTTCCCTCACTCAGACCCAAAGTATCAAAATTTAATAGTAAACTGCTGTTGATGGAAGATATTGCCATCATTGTAATGTATTTTTGATGTAATAATATAGGGTGGCAATAAATAGAAAATAGAGTTCATTAAACACAGTGATGGCAAATATTATATTATTTCCAGATGTGCACACACACACACATACACATGCACTTGTGCTAAAAAAAATATTATTTATATTGAAAAACCTGAAAGCCACTAATCTATGGAGCCCCTTGACTTTAGATTAAGCACTATTTTGTTCCCCAATTCTTATTTCGTCCCTAATAAGATACTTCAAAACTGTAAGCTTAAAAGTAAAATGGCATACAACTTCAGATTTCCTATTGCACCTAACACGGTACTTGGCAGATAACAGGTTCTCTGCAGATAATTGTAAGTTTAGTTGAAGAGTCTAGGGTAGCACAGGGGAGCAACGAGCAGCTGACTGAATCAGATCCCGAGCTTTCCTAGTTCTGGTCTCTAAAATTGCTATGCCAAGGCAAGGAGACTGGACTGATACCAAATAATAACATGAGAGGGACCAGAAAGAAGCACTGATTATTTTAATATTGCTCATTTTCCCTAAAGTATTAGATAATCAATGTAGAAAATATGCATTACAAAGAAAAGTGGGAAGGGGGAAATACTCACAGCATTAAAACTAAAGGACAGCCACTGTCATCATTTATAACATTTACAGCCTGACTATTAACATTTATTACATTTTCATCCTGTCTTTTCCTGTAATATTGCTCTGGTAGTACACTACACTTGCGCTTTGCCATAGGAGAAATTCTCTTCAAATTCATAGTTTTATTGGTTCTAAAGCAGCCCACTATATCTCTGTATCACAGCTTATTTAAGCATCCTCTTACTGTCAAAAATGTTAGATTGTTTCTAATTTGGAGTATTATAAATAATGGCTTAATGAACAGCTTTATGTTAAGCTTTTCCTGACTTTTTATTTCCTTAGGTTCTCGGAAATGAAATCAGTGGATCCAACGCAATGAATTTCAAAGCCTCTTGATGTATATTGCCTCGTCTCGGATCATTCATTGTAACGGCAGCTAAATGGTAAAGCCCTGTGTTGGAGGAAACCCTATTTAAAGGGCCGTTGTACTTTTCCTATGAATTGATTATTGACGGTTTTGTGCATTTCCTCTTAGTTAGCATTTTAACTGGAAAGGAGGTTTGGGCACCCAAGTTTGGATTGTATGTGACTTCTCAGATTTAGGGTGCTGATTCAAACGGAAAGACTCCTTGTACGAGCAATAATTATAGATGGTCTTTGGTTCTTGGTTCTATTTAGTAAGGAATGTTGCCTTTCTATATTTGTTAACACTGCCCACCATGTGCGTGGATGGGATGGAAGATTAATAAGGAAAGCTTACACCAAACCTATTTTTAAATGTTTTCTAGTTTATTATAATAAAATAGAATCCTATTTTCATGCTATTCCTATAACAATTTATTTTTTTATCAGGCAGAAATATATCTTTGTTGTCTAGAAATGAAGTTTCTATAATAATCCAGCTACAACAAAATTTGAGATATAGAAAAAGGTATTTTTGGTGATAAATTAGCTATTTTCTGTAGCTAAGCATTTTATCACAGTTATCAAATCTGCCAGCGTCTATCGATCTGCCATTACGGTAATTAGGAAACACATATTTCACTAAGTTATATTAAGTCCACTCAACTCTGTTTATTTTTCTTCATGTTCCATTAAAAATCAAATTATGCCTCTACAAAAAAATAAGACATATTACCTGGATGTGATAGAATACATCTGTAGTCCCAGATACTCAGAAGACTAAAGAGGAAGCATCACTTGATCCCAGGAGTTCAAGGCTTTAGTGAGCTATGATCACACCACTGCACTCCCTGGGAGAAACACCATGCCTCATAAAAACAAAAATAAATCAAATTTAAAGAATATCCAGAGGGGTTGAAAAAGTTAACCTATTCTATCTCTTTTCCTTTTCTATATTCCAGAGCATTTTTCATGGCCCTTGCCCATTGGGATCTCACGTTCAGCAAAAGGCAGTGCTACGGAGCTGGAAAATGTTCTTCTTAGCAAAGTATCTCAAGAATAGAAGAAAAAGTATCCAATGTACACAGCCCTATTATGAAACTAATTTGTAGCTTTCATATGAAAGCTATAACCTAATTATAGCCTAAGAATAGGGGGAGGAGGGAAGGGGAGGA